TCATTCAAAGAAACTATTCCAACCGGTTTAACATTAAGCGTAGATTATTATCGCGTAATTATCGTTCGACCTTTGCGAACGACGAAATAGTCGACTGAAAATAGCGAATCGTGGGTGTCGAATTGCATTTTAACGAAGTATAATCATCGAATCGGTAATAAACAGAGGATAGAGAAGTGTTTCGCGCGTGCGGAACTTATCATCGCATAACAATCGGCTTACTGGTGCATAGTATAGTATGGGTCACCCGATTCCAATCTAAGATTTGGCGCACAGCCGAAACTTCTCAAAGGTTAACGATCTTCTCGTTCGCATCAAGGAAGAAATCGATCGATCGCCCCTTGTGTCACTCGCAACTCTTCGATTTTCTTTAACTCTCGAAAACATATTGTTATAATATATTTCTCTTCCTTAACCGTATGAAATAATTATATGAAACTTCTCTTGGAACTATATTATCACTTTACAATAAGTAAAAAAAAAAAAAAAAAGATCTTAATAAAGTATTTCTATTTGTAATTGAAATAGATATGAGAAAACTTGAAAAGTTTAATACAATAGTAAATACATATAACAATATATTGGGAGAGGTTAAACACCGGTTAAGTTTGAAAATGGCAATCAATCAAAGAGGATATGGACCTCGGCTATGATAGATAGTCTTCGACTGGTTGCAATATCTATATATATCGTCTATTTATACGATAAAGTCAGACGTTGTGCGAACGGAAACAACGATGAAAGTATTGCATACATCGATGCCGTATATCCCTGACAAACCGTAGCGAAGTCCCACCGTATCGCATTGCGATACTAGTGACCAGTTGACAGTAATAAGTAACCAGTTAGATAAGCGATTCCATAACCTTCGACGATTCCACGCAACACATTTCTACGTAGATGCGTTTCGCTATAACGATCGTTAATTTCTTCAATCGTATAGGATACAATTTATAATGAAATCCTGAATATTAATCAAAGCCTGTGATATTAAAATCAAATTATTTTTAAATCTTATCCAGCAATGAAAAACTTTTCACTAACGATAATTGATATGCAAGAGAATTAAATTTAATATAGGGAATAGCGGATAAAATCAAATAGAATGTCAAATCAAATCAATAAATTATGAAATAAGGGGAAGTATTGTTTTTCGAAAGCAAAATTCGAAATGCTCGAAATTTTATAAAAAAATTATACATTTAACGATTAATCAATAATCAATAATCCATATATATTCGTTTATCTATATTCGTTATGCAAAAGATACATGGAATATTCTAAGAATTGTATCTACTATTCATAAATGAAAATATTGATAAAACTCTTATTGAATATACAAACTACAACATAGATTTATATAAACATATAAATAAAAATATTCAGATTAAAAATTTCTATTTTTACAATATTAAATAATCAGTAGATACATAAAAATTTTAAATTCGAATAGCATTAGGATATTATTATTTATTGGACTCATAAATCATTAATAGAAATACTTATTATCGATATACTAACATGTACGAATGAAATACAGTACAAGATAAGATTGATATCCAGGTAAAAAATTCGATTTGAAAAAATAGAAACAAGAAAATAAAATTTAATGACCATAATTTCATAAGAACGGTAACGAATTCTATGCAAATTCTATTTCAGTTTAATTTGCAGAACCAATTGTCAAATAATAATTGTATACAATCATTATTTTAAACAACGATATCGGATGAGATTCTTTAAAACTCAAGAAATATCAACGAAATTACCATGCTTCGAAGTGATTCAGTGCTCGATTATTTTTATCATAAAGTCTGAAAATACAATCCAAAGGGCTGCGGTTTAGCATCATATGTAATCGAGTCAGACCTGAGAGCCTTGAGCCTCTGCCAAAAATGAAGAAAACATTTTCAACGCGTACTTGAAGCTGTTCCATTTTATCAATTCACACCGTATTAATCTATCTTCCTTCTACCTTGTTCGAATAATTCTTATAGCGTGATTATCTCTTCATATATCGTGAATCGAAATTTGTATTTGTGAATTGTGTAAAGAAATTCATTATCAATCGAAAATACTTTGCATTCCAATATTTTTACAAGGCATTTCAAAATATAATATATAAATGTAAATAATAAAATTAACAAAGAAGCAAAAAATGTTTCAGATATATAATTAAAATATAATTTCTAAACGCTGAAAAAAATCATAATAATCATACAATTATATTTTTCTTACAAATGAAACTACAATTGATTAAATTTTTATCAAAAGATATACAATTATATTTAACTGTTAGATAATATTAAGAAATATTAAGAAACTTTGAAAAAAATACATATTATTAAATAATTCATATAAAATGATTATAATACAAAATATACTTTTTTTACTTTTTTCAAACATAGTTTTTCATTTTTTAAGAAAAGATTGTAGGTAATGGATCAATTTTTTATATATTCACACTGTTGTATTTGAAAAATTGTATTGTGTTCCGTGAGGTTATGTACAGTAGTTCAAAAATTTAATAGTCAAATGTTCTATAAATGATGAATGTTCAAAATATAAAAATTATTACACCTTTTTATTAATTATGTTTATCAAAAGTTCCTGTCACACATAATACCTAAAAGTATAATAATGATAAAATACATCCGGTTTATTTACCCAACAAAACATATATATTATTATTGCACAGAGTAATAATAGAATCAAAACTTTTTATCAAGATAAAAGAAAATATGTAAAATATTATTAAATGGAAAAAAAATAAACTTAATTTACCTTTTTCTGCTGTTTTTCCCAAGCCGGGTCCAAAAGACCTTCTCTCTCCCATTCTTCTTCTGGCTCCATGTATCCGTCTCCGTAAGCTTCCATGTCGTTCATCCTTTCGCGGATATTTCACGTTCCTTTAAATGTAAATGATTTCTGTGTGACACAGCTACAGACATTTCTGTATATAAAAATCAACAAACACTTGATTATGTTTTTCATATGATGATTTTGATAATAACCCAGATTGATAGTTTTGTTCAAACTTTTCTTACACTTATATGATAATAAAAAGCATGATGATTTAATATATTTTTAATAAGAAAATTTTAATAAAACATAAAGCAATAAGAAATGCACGCGCGCACAATTAAATAGAAGAATAGAAGAGGGTAAAAAAGGAAAAAATGAAAATAAAAATAAAAAGAAAAAATAAATTATTTTCTAAAAAAATAAAAAAAATGGAAATAACTAAGAATGGAAAAGTGGTGTACGTTTTGTAACATGAAAACGTACCCGCTAAGTCCAGAAAATGTTCGGTTCGTGTCGTTCTTTCTCTCGCGCTGACCCCTCTGCCACGAGTCTGACACTCGATTTGCTCACCGGCGTACAAGCTTCCCCTCCCACATGCTCACGCTCTCTCTCTCTCTCTCTCTCTCTCTCTCTCTCTCTCTCTCTCTC